AAGCATTTGCTTTCCTAAAGAGAGGTGTCATAGTGCCATGGGTCAAGCTTTAAACCTAGGAGGTTTTGTATTTAGCTGAATAAAGGATCATTCAAAAGAATGTTAAAGCCAGGGATGGCTCACAAAACATCAAAGCCAAGAATGGCTCCAAAATAATATTCATCAATAATGCTCCAACAAGCACCATCATCTTGGAGAAGGAATCTCTTCACCATTAGCGACTACAAATAAAAGCCAAAAAAAATAGAAAAAGCCAAAAGCTAGCTTCAAGTATCTTAAAAGTTGAAATAAAAAGGAAAAAAATAGCAAGAAAAAGGCTATGCTTCATTCATGTTGAAAAAGTCGAAGCTAAGAAAATGAAAATTCAGAAACTCACCAGCGAAAACTACAAAGTCAATGTTAGACTAGTAGCCGCTCTAGCTACCAGATATCAAAGATCCAAACAAGGGGCAAAGCTTGCCACATCCTCCCCAAGTCTTCCCCAAGTGATGTATTCAACTCAGAACAACTAAGAAGGCTACTGGATGGTTAGATCCAATGCAAATAGGTGAAGTGGGTCAGTTCACCAACATCCCTAGCAGAGCTCAAATTAAGCCTGAAGAGGTTTTGGTAAACAATACTTAATTAAAATCCCTTGTGTACCTGATTGTATAGATCAAGCCTGAAAAGGCTTCGGTCAAAGAATACTCAGCTATAGATTTCCCATAATGGGACAGACCAAGCCTGGAGAGGCTTCAGGGAAAGAATACTCGTACTTCAAACTACACAGTCTCAGTTGGACTAGCCTATCAAAGGCAAACAATTAAAACACTAGGGGGCATCCAAAGTATCCCCACACAACACTGATGGCCATTATCTTAGCGGTAGAGCCAAGTAAAAATTAACGGCCATATGAGCTATCGGATATATGAGATTCGAATAAAGGGCAAAGTTGCTCATACCTAGTCAAGTCAGAATGATAACTGAGTAACTTGACATAGGCAAAGATACCCAGTCAAATCAGATTGACAATCAGGTAACCAAGATTCACATAAGAAAAATTTGGCTAAGAAGTAGCCTCTTCCCCAAATGCGCTTACCAAGCCTAGAGAGGCTTCAGTTAAACAATACTTCAGCTGAAAATACCCCCTAATGGAAAGGATCAAGCCTAGAGAGGCTTTAGCAAAAGAATACTCGAACTCATAACTGTACAATCCCCAATGGATAATTTCCTAAGACATAGGCAAAATAGTCAAAACCCAAGGCATCAGAAGTATCCCCTCTTCACATCAACAGGAATTGTTTTCCTTATTGCTTCTTAGCACTCCCACCAAATAGCAAGCCAATATCAAAGCTCGCCAAGACATCACCAACCATTATCTCCAATTCCTCACTGGAGAAGCGACACAACACAGTTACGATCACCCTACTAAGAGGATGATTTCCCGCCTATCAGCACAAGGGCACTTCAAACAAGATGTTTATGTCTTCATAAGACAATCTTCACCTAAGAGTAGAGGCAATTCAAGTTAAGGAAACCTTTCACGGGCTAGGAGTGGCTTAGAAAGAATACTCACAAGCCAAGAATGGCTTAGAAAGAAGCACTCACAAACCAGGAGTGGCATAGAAAGAAATAATCACAAGTTAGGAGTGGCTTAGAAAGAAATACTCACAAGCCAAGAGTGACTTAGAAAAGAATACTCACAAGCCAAGAGTGGCTTAGAAAGGAATACTTAAACCACCAGTAGGCCTAGACATGCCGCATAGAAATACTCAGCATCCCTAGTGAGCTTGGAGAAGCTCGATAAAGAAGAACTCAATTTGCTCAAGCTGCAGGACATCAGCAGATCTTGCCGAGCAACAATACCTACACCCATCTTGGAGATGGTTGTGCAAAATACTCAACCTTTAGAGAATTACAGATACATATGTGCATCTTTACTTGCCTCCAAAATAGAAATTTCTATTTGAAGGACAAGTAAAAAGGGATAGTTGTAGACTCTCGTTTCTGTCCAGGTTGAGAATATGAAGATGTAAAGCTTCTAAAGCGAGAAAAGTAACCCTTGAAGGAGCTTGAAGACTCCAAGACATGACAAGATGGAGTAGAAAGCCTCCATAAGGCATTCCAAGGGCCAAACAACCGAGAGCCAAATCAAAATTTCAGTGTAAAAATTGGGCTGAGAATGGTTGTTCCAGAGGGAGAACGGTCGTTCTACACCCTTGAGCCCTATTTAAGCATTAATTTACTCTTGTATGGACACACACTAGATTCTCTCTTCCCCCTTAACTCCTTTCAGAGCATTTTAAGTAAAATAAACTCATTGTTTCCAACTTCTCTCTTTCTTTATTTATTGCTTTAGTTAAAATAGACATCATGTAGATAATTCATTACAATATATGCATAATATGTAAAGCCTGAAGAGGTTAGGAAAAGAATACTTGTAAAGCCCGAAGGGGCTTGTCAAAGAATACTCAATGCTAGCCAGAAGTGGCTGGGAAGAAAATACTAGCGCTGGTGAGTGAAGCTGGAGGGCCAGGAGGTGGTCGAGAATACTCACTGCTAGCCAGAAGTGACTGATAAAAGAATACTAGCGCTGGTGAGTGAAGCTGGCAGGCCAGAAGTGGTCGAGAATACTTTGGGAACCAGAAGTGATTTAAGAATACTAGTGCTGGTGAGTGAAGCTAGCCAACCAGGAGTGGTTGAGAATACTCGTGACTAGGAGTGGCCGTGACCGGGATGGTCTAGAATACTCAAGGCCTGGAGAGGTCGAGAATACTTGGACCAGGAGTGGTTCTGACCTGGGTGGTCCATAGTACTCAACACTAGCTTGAAAAGGCTGATAAGAAGATACTAGCATTGATGAGTGAATTCAACGGGCCAGAAGTGGTCAATAATACTTGTACTTAATTGCATATTTAGTGGAACCCTTCAGTTGAAAGAGAATGGACGTAGCTCAATTGAGTGAACCAGTATAAAACTGTTTGCATTGTTTTATTCATATTTCAGACACAAACTCTTCCTAATTGATAAATCATGTTGAATACTTCGTCTAGTGTCTATTCTTCATTATAACTATTTTTTAGACGAAGAAGCAAATTTTGGTTAGCAAATATATTACACTGAAAAGTTTTATCTACTGCCTATCTTTAAATGAAACTATCTTGAAAAGAAAAATGCAAGAACCTTAATCATTATTGTTATATGAAGCATTTTGTTTCAGCAGTCAATAAATCGTTCAGACGCAGTGACCTTGTGTTAAGTAAATTTTGCATAACTTTCTGGTATTTAAAAGTGCATTGGACGAAGAACATTACTCTTGTGAAAAAGATTATAAAATTCCTTCGTACTCATACACACATATTCAACCCCCCTCTATGTGTTTCATGTCTAACTTCAACTTGGAGACTTTGAACATTGTTGCTTACTTGAGGAAGATCCCTCCTTCTTGAATTTGTCCTTATCACTAGAAGAATCATAGTGATAAGCCTTTCTGTAGGAATGCTTCATTTCAAATTTTCTTTCCACTTTGTTGATTTGGTGCATAATAACCTTTTATTCTTGAGGAAGACACTACAACTTGTTTTGTTTCTCTTTACTAGAATAAGATGGGGTATTTCATCTCCTCATGATTCTTTTCATCTCATCACGACTATCCATCAATGGTTCCCCTTATCTACTCTTCCTTTCTACATTTGATCCCACTAAACAAGAGCATAATCAATAAATTCAAGAATTGTAAGTTTCAACATTTTACCTTCAGAGTGTTTTTAACATGAGAAAATTTGATCAACACGCATTTCTTACTCCAAGTATGCCTTAGGATCATTTCTCCATTTGAAATGTGGTATTTTGAGCTTCACTCCCTCAATTTTATCCTCTCTATTATTTTCTCCCTTTCTATCTCCTTTATAACACCTTCTTTCATATCTTTTCAATTTCCACTCTCTTTCATATTTCCAATAACCTCTCTCACTTCCATAATAAGATGAGGAATACATACTTGTAAAAAAAGGTTAGTGCAGATAATAGAAATCAATTGAACCTCACCTCTCTCTAAGTGTTTACACTCAAAATTCACTCATATTTCACACTTTTGAGGCCTTTTCTCTAATGTCCATTCTTTGGTAGATTTCATCACTATTTAAACTTAAAGATAAGTATTTTTAAATAAAGAATTTTAAAAAACACAATCTTTTAAGAAATAGATAAGAATTACTTCTTAAAAAAAATAATAAACTTATTTTAAAAAAAATAAATTTAGACAAACACAAAAAAATACTTATATTATTAAAAATAAACATTTTTAGGAGGGGAAAAAGTTCAAATAAACATACCCATTATTATTACATTAATTGTGCATATTTTTTTAATTCACTATTTTGTAAAATTATTATTTAAAACCTATCAAATGTCTTTTTTCAAGACTACATCAACAACAAACAATGTTATATAAAATTCTAAATCAAAATTTCAGTTAAATTAAATCAGTATGCACACACTTTAGTATCTCATCAAATATTTAACTTCAATTAGAACTATTATTATATTCAAGACTTAGATATTTGTCAATCAAATTTAATTTTGATGGTATAATTTTTTTATATTTTTTTTCCTCACAAATTTATAAATACTATTTTTAACTTTATTAAATAAACACATTGATCCTAATTTTCATAAAATATATTTTTTTAATTTCACTTATCTAACATCTAAAGTCATTATTTTTAATCTTTATCATAAATAAATAACACGTATTTTAAAAAATTATAAATAAATAAATAAAAAACTTTTATATATCAACATGATATTAACAATCTTCTGTAAAAAAAATAGTCACTAATATTGATCACGTTATAGAAAGTAGAAACTAAGTAATATTTTGAAATTCTAGAAAAATAAAAACAATTTACAACTAAAATCAAAATTTTCATATCTTACATAGAACAAAAATACTTAAGCCTGTATTTAACTGTTTACTAGCAAATTAACACGATTAAAGAAAGGTAAGATACTCAAGTTGCTGATCAAAACTAAATTCTAGATTTAAAGCCATAAAAAGAAGTCCACATTCTAATGCAGAAAATAATTAACTTTGGCTTTGGAATTCTCGAACCAATACAATACATTACAAGAATACAAGTCAATGCCTACAGATTTTTTTGGTCACTCGAATATTTCCACCTTTCATACAAGTTATCAGCTGATCAGGCGAAAAAAAACTTTAGCTGCTCAAACGAGATGTAAACTTAAAAAACCATAAAACTATAATCTTGCTCAACTTGGATTTAACACTATTCTAAATTGAATATCTGGCTTTGTCATTTATTTTGTACAGTCTCAGCGAAATGTTGCACTACGATTCCCAGAAGCAGGAAATGCCTGACGTCTTTTACCTTGTTGTAATTGTTTAGTCAAATCACTAGCTTGTTCCTGACCCACTGTCGAGCGTTGCTTCTTGCTACCTGTGTCATCTGTCTCCATATGGCCATAACTACCCTGGGAAGATGCATGCTTTGTATCTTCTCCAAACTTGACATGTTTCCTTGCAGCTTCATAATCAAATGGCTTCAGCTGCACTAAGCCACTGGGTTCTTCAGTTTTCTTCAGCTGTCTGGTTTTATTAGTTTGATCATTTGAATGAAAGCATTTTTGAAAATTTGAAGACAACTCCGAGAGAGACACTGGCTCATCTTCATCCTCTTTTCCTGAAGTGGACACCACAGAATTTTTCTCCCTGTGCTCATTGGAGTTCTCTAGGTTATTTTGCTCCATATCCTCTGCACCCATATCAGATTCTAGCATTATAATCTCGTCTAGAGGGGGGGGCGGAACTATATCAGGAACAGGTTTCTGTGGCTCTGACACTTTAGATGCTACACTAAGAGTTCCTACTGTAGGCTCTGATTTCTCACTGCTACCCAAAAATGAATGGAAAGGAAGACTGACTGAAGACCTAATCTGTTCTAGCTTGATCTCTTCCTTGCCCTAAGAAGAAATCCCAAAAAAGCAGTATGGAAATAAGTAGAGAGACAAATACAGCTGAGAAAACAGACAAAAGGAAAAGACAGCTAAAAATACAGCAACCTACATGTTTTCATCATGTGTATAAATTGACATGTAGGACGAAAAACATACCTTATCAGGACCAAGCTTCCTCTTTGAAGCTGAATTCCCTAGTAGTGCTCCAAAAGCACCAGTAGGCTTTTTTAGCATCTGAACAGTTGCTCCATTTCCCTATCAACAATATAAGTTAGATCCATGCTCATCAGGAGGCTAAAACATTTAACTAATACTGAAACAGTAATTTTTGCAACCTTTTCTGTAGAAAGTGCAGCAACATTTGCAACCCTATTCTTCTCTGAAATAGAGAGACTGACTCTGGGGGGCTCATATGTAAGACTATTGGACTTGATTTTTATTTGCACGTTCGTATCTTGATGCTGAGAAGATTCCTGTTTAAGGTGAAAAGAACAAGTGGTGAGTTCTCTAGGATAATCTTATAGCCAGTATTTTCAATTTCAAAACTCCATTTAAGTGCATTTCAAACCTTCAAATTTTGTGTATGGGATTGAGGATCTTCAGTTCCCTCTGTAACGGGTACTACATCTGATGCCTGTATGGTGATCATCATACAATTTAATCAACAAACAAAAATCAGAAATTAAAGTAAATTAAAATATATTAAGAGTTACAATAATTATATTCTCTTTAACATTTGTGGAAAAAAAAAATAATTTCATGAAACAATATTAAAACCATGAGGTTACAGTCATTGTGTTTCTTTGTAACAAGCTAAAAGTTAAGTTATATATTGAGGATCCCTGTTAGAAAAATTAGGGTAGCACATGTTTCGGGAGTCTCATTACAACAGTTATCTAACATTGGGCTGGGCTTGGACTAGCTGCACCAAACTAGATATTTTTTTAATATAAAAAGTGTTGGAACATAATATATCTGATACACATCTATCACATGCTAATGTTAAATATAAGGTTTTACAAGTATTATGGCTCTAATGAATCGTAATATTACTGGGTTGGACATGTATTACTTACAACACGCGACAACTTATTAACTAAGATTGCAAATATAAATTAGTGCTAATTCTTTATACTTAATAGCACAATCTTTAAATAACTGTTTAAGTTGCACAAATAACACAGAAAGCCCCTACATTAATAATGTGGTGTTTTCATTTACAATCAATTCATCATCATACAAAACCATAGGTGACAAATTATGTGGAAATTGAAGTACAGATATAAAACAGAGACTAACCTCTGCTCAGACATTCATATGGTAATTGTAAGGATATTACTTACAGTGGCAGCTTGAGCTTCTTTCAATTGTTGAGCTGCTTCCTCAAATGCAGCAGCATTCTGAATAGAATGCCTAATGATGTTGACAACAGCATCAAGATTGTGTTCAACATAAGGGTGTTTTGACTTCACCAATCGCCGTAGCTTGCTTGTAGTAAGAGGCATCTGCTTAGCTTTTAAATAAGTAATACAAATTAAGTTAACATCCAGCTAGATTTCTAACATTAAGAAAAAGTTGCACTGAATTTGCCCAAGTTGCGTACCAATTTCAAGAACAGATTTGTTTGGCAATACATATCCCGTACTCTCATCCTCTGCTCGGGCAACAATGTCCCTCCATTCACACAGCCCCTGCAAACCAGGAAAACAGGGTGTATAAATTACAATAGAAGTTAAGAATAACGAACAATGAAATCCAAAATGAATGCAATATATATTATATAGCATGCCACATTCTGTTACTTTAGAAGTTTAGACATTCTTTCAACACAATCCTGACATTGTATCAATTCCTTTTGGCACTGGAAGCTTGTTTAGATTGTTTCAGCAAAAGGTAAAAGACTCGTACAAGAATTAAGCTTCGAAGGCTATTAGAATTTCTTGGTGTCCAAAAAATGGTTTCATGATAAAAACCAGCATGAAACAGTGAGATAACTATTCTAGAAGTGCCTAGTGGTTATTGACATGGTAACACGGAGTTAGAAACTGCAGTATTATTGTTATATTAACTGGAGAAAAGGTGATAATGAGACTAATGAAGGTGGTAAAAACCGGAAGCAATAGCTAAATTGAGATTTTGACAATGGAAGTGATCAGAGTGATGCTGGAAGAGCAAACCAAACTTTCTAATAAAAAAAATTACTCTATAAAAATCCAGGGGAATCAGTTCACCATGTTTGTGCCAAATTGAGATTCATGAGAAAATCATAGTTTCTAGATTAAGACAGAATTGACCACAATACTTCAAAAAAATCATGTACCATAATTTTTTTCAAAAGATTGCTTTGTCGATCTGCAAAAAAACATTTTTCATATTCACTACAAAAATGGTGTTAGATAAAGGCGGCAAGCTTTTATTCCCGATGTAAGCAAGTAATTCAAGACCTGTGCACAAATAATAATAATAATAATAATAATAATAATAATAATAACTTACAGAAACAATGGCAAGCTGTTGAGCATTGAAACCGGCAGCTTGCAACCTATACAGAAACAGCAATTAAGCTTTGCTTTACACTTGGCATGCATTACATGCAATACAGAAGTTAAAACATACTGCCTTTATAGAAGAATCAGAAAAAACAATCAAGATGTTCAAAAGGCTAGAGAAACAATTGCTACTTGTATGGAACACAATTAATGAAAGAACAACTATTGTGAATGTAACAAACCCATATATATGAAGATAGGAGCTCTCTGTCAGAAGTTCTTTCTCATAAAGTTGCATGCAGACATCATAACTGCGCTTGTAGACCTGTTTTGTTTATGGGAAACTCCAGTCAAAAGCCAAAAAAAAAAAAGAGTTCATTGAGATAACCATGCAGCCATGTATCTTAATTTGATTAAAGATTTAGAATAATTATAGTCCATAAAACATTATCTGTATAGCAAGGAAGGGTCAAACAGGTCTAATCAACCACTGCATGATTGTAATGCAGAAAAGCTCAAATATTTGACAAAAAGCAATCTAGGTAGTCAAGAGAACACCCTGTGGTTGGTGGTAATGATTGATAGGTAGTCTAGTTAGTTTGATATCAATATAATCAAGTGGGCAAACGATGCGAATCATGATGAACATCTTTTGTGGTTGAATTCAGTGTTGTTAAATAGCCGTTATGGCGGCGCCATAACGGTATGGCGGCGCCATAACAGTAGGGCGGCGGCAGCCACATTCCGTTATGGCTGTTTGGGCTGTGTATGGCGGGGATCCACCATTTTGAAGATGGCGGCCGTTATGGCAGTTTAGGCATGGCGGTCCATGGCGTGAATGGCAGACATGGCGTCGTTTTGGGCCTTTTTTTTGTTTTTTTCAATTTGGGCCATTTTTTTTTCTTTTCTGGTTTGGGCCCAAGTTTCTTTCCCAGGTTGGGCACCCAACACATAAAATAGGGTTGCAGAAACCCTAATACATATTAGCCTCTCTCCCATGCAACCCACGGCTGCTCCAACAAGACCCCATTGCCACCGTCGCCTCCGACGCAGCCGCCACCATCACGTACGATGTGACTTTCTTCTCCCCCTCCGCGTGCACCACTGTCGCGCCACCCTAGCCTCCGCGCGAGACACCATCACCTCTGTGCGCGCCACTGTCACCTCCGAGCGCGGCACCGTTACCTCCGACGAGACTTTCTTCCTCCTGGTTCTTCCTCCACGCATGACAGATTCTCCCTCTACACGCCTCCTCCTTTGAGTTCTACCATCGCCGCTGCCATTTAATCCTTTTGTTGATTAGGAATTTATGTTTCTTTATGATGACTCACTAGATTATGAATGCCATGAATTTTAGATTGTTATATTGTTGGTTTGAATATGTGTTTGCTATTTTTCTGTTTTTGCATCATATTATATATATATATATATTTTTATTTATTTTTTTTTGTCCGCCATGATGTCTGCCATAGACCGCCATGGCATCCGCCATGGCAATATGGCACTTAAAGGTCCTTGCCGCCTTCCTTCGTATAACCTTACTGATAACCTTGGTTGAATTGCACATCAAATCGTGCGAAGATTGCATCAATCATGGTCTGTATCTGAATCACATGGTTCTAGTTTGAAACAGGTAGCGTCCAAAGCGGGTCAGGTATGCACAACCTGATTTTTAAAACCCTAAAAATGTTTCTTTTTCCAAAAAGTCATGTAAAATGGGAGGGAATAGGCCGATATTCCCCCCACCTAATGAGACCTTGCCTGTCCCCTCATCTGAAACACCCTTTTACTTGTCTCCTTACGTATTTACTTTTATCTGTTTGTGCCTACAACTTATGGAGTGGCTCCCTGTTCATGCTGCTGGTTTGTGGTTTACTTGCTACTGGTTGGTGGTTTTTGAGCTGCTGTTTTGTGCTGGTCCCCTGTTTTTTGTGCTGCTGGCTGGTGGACACTGTGCTGCCAGTTGGTGTTCTCTATTTGTTGTGTGTATCTAGGCGGTCCCTGTTTCTGCTGGCTGACTGTACTTTATTGAAGAATGAGTCAAGAAGAAAAGGTGGCTGATATTACATGGCAATACAGCGAAAGTGTCACCCCAAATCAAGTGAAATATAAGCTCTGTTCATGCTTTTTGGGGTGAAATTACAAGGATGAAACATCATCTTGCTGGAACAAAGCCAAATGTGAGTGCTTGTACAAGTGTTTTGGGTAATATTAAGTGAATATTTGTCAAGCTATTGGAAAGTAAAGTGAAAAAGAAAGAGGAGAATAGCCTTGATTGTTTAGAAGAAGTAGCAAAAAGAAAGGAGAGGACATCTAAAGTTATCAAACAAAAGACAATCAATAAAGTTTGCAAATATATGGATGTTGCGATTCAACAAAATTTGCAAATGTGAATGCTTGTACAAGTGTTTCAGGTGATATTAAGGAAAAATTTGCCAAGCTATTGGAAGGTAAAGTAAAAAAACAAAATTTGCAAATGTGAATGCTTGTACAAGTGTTTCAGGTGATATTAAGGAAAAATTTGCCAAGCTATTGGAAGGTAAAGTAAAAAAAAGAAAGGGGAGAATATCCCTCATTGTTTAGAAGAAGTAGCAAAAAGAAAGGAGGGGACAAGAAGCAATTTCACGTAAACAACGGAACCCAAAAGAGAAGACGTGTTTGTTGACGACAACATTGGAGTTGACAACAACATTGGTGATGACGATGGAAACACCAACAATGGGTGGCAGTGTTTAGAAAAGAATTGGGAGAGATTTTGCAGAGCTGTTTTGCCTTTGGGAACCCCAGTCGTTTGTGTTAGCTAGCTGCAATTTTCTTTATGTTATGGACAAGTCATACCGACCTGACCCAAAAAGCCAATGATTTCATTTTCTTTCTTTTTCGAATCGTATCAAAATCGACCCAAGCCTACACTAATATCAAATAGAATCAATGATCTGTCAATTTCATGAGTTTAATAGTGATCCTCTTACAATCCACAAACTTTGCAATCTTCGCAAGTTTTCTTTGGTTTTCTACCCCCATTATTAAATTAAAAGTTTGTTATTGAATAGATCAAGTCTACAAATTTTTGCAAAGTTTGAAAGCTATTTGATATTGTTATATAAATTCAAATAATGTATAATAATATGCTTTTATGAATCTATAATCTATAACATACATAAAGAAAATAGCCTAATTTGGTGTATATAATTTTTTTGGAAAATTTTGTCCTTATAACAACTTTCAAACTACTCTCTCTCACTATCTCTCTTCCACTATTTTTTATTTAATTTAGACTTTTTCCACTTTTGTATATCCCTAACTAATCAATAATTACCTATTTTTTTATATTTTAAATAATAGAGGCACGTAGTGCCTCTCTCCCACTAGTATATATTATGAATTTATATAATGAAGTATCAAATAATTTTCCATTGTTAAAATTTTTTAACTTATATTTCCATAGTTGGATCATTGAAATTCAGTGTATACCATGAGCATCTCGATTGAATAGAGTAACTCTACCAAGAGTCTCTTTGAATAACTTGATCCCCACAACTCTTATGCATATAATATGCCGTTATCATGACTCAGGATATAGGTTTTCTGATACTCAATTTGTATCTCAACTCAACTACCATGTTTTGGATAAAGCTTATTTTAGGAGGGCAAAATAAAAAGCTTTTTTATCAGCTTACTTGGATAAAAGGAAAAAATATATATATATATATATTTTTTAGAAGGAAAAATAAAGATTTTTTGTTAGCTTCCTAAGATTGCTTTTGAAAGTAAAAAATAAAATAAAAATATTCTCTCCATGAGAAAAACTTTCTCAAAGACTCAAACATGCATACCACAGAATATCGTAAAGATAAAGAAAAACGTAGAAGAACGGATAAACTATTACCACACAGAACTTGAAGCAACCTGCAACCATAAATTATTAAACCTAGTAAACTCATTCAAGGTGACAGAAACACAAGTACTGACAAAATTAATTAAATCAGACAACATATTTCAAACCTAGGTTAAAGCATGCAAGGAAGATGTTCAACCAAGTCAAATTCATCTGATCTATAAACTTAATGCAATAGCATCCCAAAACAGAGAAAAGTGTAGAAGATAGTTACCTCCACCAGAGGAGCGACTGAAGATTCGGAACAGTCAGACTCCTTAGACAAGGCAAATAACTTAATCCTCATTAAATCATATATATACAACAGATAGTGTGTATCTTCTCTTGCATATCTGTCATCATAAAACAATTAATTGGATTCTGGTAATTTAATTGCCTGTGGCAGTATACCAGTAATTATCAAGCTAAAACAAAGATAAAATGTTTTGGGGCGAAGAGGAAACAAGAAACTAAACACAATTAAGATTTGTCATAACAGTCTCAACAATGCTTGAGACCATTTTAATTTCCTTATTTACTGCAAGTAGAATCCTACAGAGGGAAGGGAGAAGAATAAAGAGAAAGAGAGAGAGAGAGACTGAGGAGAGAAAACTAGATCAGATAGAAAACTAAAGAGAAGAACGTAAATTACTAGTTAGTAATTTCAACTTCAACACAACAGGTAAGAATCAAGTAGAAAATCATTAAAATAGTATACGCTCTTGGGAGGCTGAAATATTGTTGGGAATTGAAGTGTCGCTCTCCAGGAAAGGTACTTTTATATATCAACAGAAATGTCATATATTTGCTTAAGAGACAGGTATGGCAGCTTGTAAACCTATACGAACCTTAAATTGGGTAATGCAAATGATAGTACAGCAGTGGATAAAGAGGTGTATCAATTTTTAGTTGGAAAATTAATTTTCTTGTCTCACACAAGGCCAGATATTGTTTTTGTTAGTTTGGTTAGTCAATTTATGCACTGCCCAAGTGAAGTCCACTAACAGGCCACTCAAAAAATTTTGCAATACCTTAAGGGAACACTGGGAAGAGGGAATTTATATAAAAGATCTTAGAATACAATTATTGAAGCCTTTCTTGGAGATCAACTACCGGTTATGGCTCCTTTCTGGAAGGAAACTTAGTAACTTGGAGAAGTAGAAAACAGAATGTTGTAGCTTGATGTAGTGTGGAATCTGAATTTCAAGCTATGGCACAAGGTATTTGATTGCTTTGCTTGAAAACTATCATAGAGGACTCGAAGATTAAATGAGATGGACCTATGAAGCTCTAATGTGATAAGTCAGCAATTAGCATAGCTCTTGTTCAGCATGATTGCAAGAAACACATTAAAGTGTATAGGCATTTTATCAAGGAAAAAATTCAATGGTGGTATGAATTGTACTCCATATGTACCTTCACAAGGTCAACTTGCTGCTATTCTTGCTAAAAGATTGTGCAGTCAAGAATTTGAAAGAATGATATGCAAGTTAGGAATAGGAAAAACATCTAATCTCTAGCTTGAGGGAGTGTTTAAAAGAAGCATTTAATGTTTAATACTATTCCAAGTAGCTTTGTTAATGCTTATCGTGTTTAATGTATCTAACAATGTTCTGATGCTTTAATTATTCTCTTGAAAATAGTGGAAGTATTATCTTTCTAACCATCATATTATAAATCAATCAATCTGCTGAGTGATAAAGACTCAAGTGCATTCAGAAAAAATCCCTTCTTATTTTCAAACAGTTGCTCATTACTTCACTCCAGCATATTTTCAGAAACCAAGCACACTTAAAATCCAACACTACAAAGAGAATACAAGACAAAAGGGAAAATACAAAGGAAGAATCAAGAAAGTGTCAAATGAGATAAGATGAAAATAAAATAAATCATACCTTAGCATCTCATCAGGAAGTGGGCGTAGTCTCCAATCTGCATTCTGGTATCTGCAAGGAGTTGTTATTGTAAGCCTTCAGGAATTTATGTAAGGAAAAAATGGAAAAATCATGCCAGAAGCAATAGAAAAGCATCTGAGCTCAGTCAATGCAAGGAGTTAATTACAAAAATAAAAGCAGGAAACTGAAGACATCATACTCTTTGTTTGCAGTAACTTCACAAAAATGATGTAGAATATGCTCCAAACTATTTCTTTCCAAGTTTAACAACTTTGAAGCCTAACCAACGCAATCAAAATAGATTAGTCCAACGCTATAAGAAGAAAACAATACTGTAACAAGATTGCTAACATATGATCAAGCAACAGATTATGGCAATGAAAATCAAAGGCAGAACTTCACAGACATTGTTTCACCAATTGTTCATGTTGCTTAACAAAAAATAACATTATGAATACATGAACAGCTAAAGACTAAAATTCCACATGCAGAGCCAGTATCTCAACCAATCAAAGAAAATCTCTAACATAATAACTATTACCAACTAAATAACTAATGTCTAATAGTACAATTTTGTTGCCTTGGTAAATAAATAATGGAAATAGTTTCAATATTGAATAGCCAGAGCATTTAAACAAACCTGGTGAGTGTCAAACAAATTACAAATGTATATTCCAAAATCTCGTTGAAGCCACACAATATCTCGATCCGCACCATGCATGACCTAGTTAACCATAAATAGTGTCAACAGAAAGAGACAAATATGTTTAATTAAGAGAAAAACCAATTACATTCAACTAACCTTTCTCTTGGCAGGGTCCTTGAAGACTTCCCGTAGATAGGGTCCAATATGAATGCGAAGTTTAAATGTGTCAACAACAAAATCTTCTGTCCTTGTTGATATTTGCATCAGGCAAGTCAAACCTTGGAAAGACCGATATTGATTATGCTCCAAATCAACCTATATATTTCAACTTCAAGTCAGTACAAAAATAAAGTCAAAAGAATGCAATGAATGGAAGAAATGGAGGGGGTGACTATAGGAAAGGGGGAATATTAGTCCAACAGTCAAATGCATTAAAAAATAGAGCATCTAAAGGCAAACAAAATGTTAAAACTGTAGCCTGTTGAGTACTAAAACAATAAACCTGATGTACTAAAAACTATCCTCACAATCTACACAGAAACCACCTAATCAATATGGATTATCATCACAAGAGAAACATAAATCCAAACAAAATGGCAGCAATCGTATTCTCTATGCTATAGATTAAGCAAATCACTACCTTAACCTGAATAGCTCCCACCTCAAGAGTAAAACAAGAAAAATGAGATGGTAAAAATTTACTTTTGTCAATGACCAACTCTAAAAGTGCAAGTTATAACATGGAGGCTCGTGTGAAACATCAATAAGCTTGAAAGGCTACATATAGCTTAATGTCCTGTCTAATTGTGCTCCTTATTATGAGCCTTTTTTAAAAGAGAAAATGCTTTTAAAATTTTAAAAACATTTAACTTTAAAAGATATAACGATTAAATATTTTTTTTGACAAAAAATAATAATCTAAAATAAAGTAGTTTTAGTAATTCTCTCTGAAGTTGGAAAGAGCGACTTAAAAATTCCACCTGAATTTGTACTAGTTAAGATAAACATTTAACTTTTCTAAGGGAAGTTTGATTTTTTATCATGTATCATTGCAGTTGCACATATCATATACAAGAACCAAATTACATAATTGGCCATGAGATAATTTCTAAGAAAAAACTTATCAATAGTGATCATGTTTTACCGCAAATTCATTAACAGAACGCAGCTTAGCAGCCAAGTCCTTCAAATCTTTGACTTCTTCCACAAGCTTGAAAGGGGTACTTTCTATTGAGGGAGGCTTCACTGGCACAACATCCCCCAGATTTGTATCAACAAAATCCAAAACAGAGAGTTTTTCCTGCAATAATAAATTAAAAATAGATTAATGTGAACAGACAAGATGACAACCTAAAAACATCCCAGCTTAACACAACAAATATAATCAATCAAAATAACGAAAATTTTCCATAAACACACATGTGCGCACGCCGACTCGAGAGATGGAGACTGCTAAGTAAGAAAAAAGAATACTTAATTTGTGGCCTGCATCGAAGTATGGCAGGCCATTGTTTAATAAAAATTGCTTTTCTATTCCCAACAGGACTGTATCCTGATACATAATAACAGGAAATAAACCAAATACCTCTTATCGAGGCATGCTTGCTACAAGTTATCATAGTTCTCCGTGTAAAGACAATAGAGTTGGATTGCACAAAACTTTCTAACATTATGATACAACCATGTTGCTTCATGGGTTGAGAACCAAATATTACATCATAAATTAACAACATACATCCGTGAGAAAACAGTAATATCAACAAGTAAGCAAGTTATTACTTGCCCAATAAACTTTATTTACTCTCCTACCTAATCCACAAATTACCTTACCAGTAATATTAAAGAAATATACATAAAAAAAATAAAATAAAAAAAGCCTACCTATCTGTGAAAAGTAGCACTTTCCAGCGTAAGCAGATTTATGAGTGGCCAACAAACAATCATTAATCTATGGCGAATTGCAATCACCAGACCAAGTTGAAACATTTCCCACTAAACACAAAATTGTTACAAAAAAGGGAAAACAACAACAGATTCAACCCCATTCTAATAACACACTGCTAATCACTAAACAAGGCTTACACCCTATATGATGTCTTAAACATTGCAGGGATGCATCAACTCACAATTCAAGTCCAAACTAAGAAAACAGAACAGAAAAAATATCAAGCTATACAATATCAAACCAAACAAACAAAACCCAAGCCAGGAAATGAACTGAGTAACTAACTAACCAGTGGATGAACAAATCTCAGCCCATCATCACTCCTCTGCAACCACACATGCTCAAACGGCATGTTAGCATTATTAACCATTATACTATACTCCTCCTGCGGTTTCCTTATCGTCGGTATATGAAACGGAACCTTGGGTCTGGGGCCCGTCGTCTTCTTATCCTTGGTCGCCACCGTTACTCCCAGCGCAACCAAACCCGCCTCGGAACCCGCCGCCGCCGAAGCCACATTCCCTCTCCCTCCCTTCTTCTTCCTCCCGGAAACCAATTGAAACCCGTCCTCCTCCATTGAATCCTTCCCCGGACGCCCCGTCTCCTCCTCCTCCTCCCGAATCCTCCGGAACTCGTCCGCGGACGCGTCGAACCGCTCCAAAACGTCGTCGTTCACGTTCACGAGCCAGTCGTAAGCGTCGTCGACGTCGCCGGGGAACGCCGCGTGCACCGCCGCGGCCCCGATGGCCTCCAGCATCGACCGCGACTCGCGCGCGATTTCCTCCACGGGGACCTTGAACTCCTCGAAGTTGCGGTAGAAGTGGAAGTCCTTGTCGGAAGGGATGCACCGCGACGACGCGGCGAGCTTCGCCACCGACGAGGAGAGAGGACCCGCCGTCAGGGTCTGCAGCGCCTGGGCCTTCGCCGCGGCCGGAGGCTGGTCGTGATCCACGTTCATGGGGATCGATCGAGTTTCGCGAGGATTGGGGATTTTCTCTTTTCTTTTTCGTCTTAGGGTTAGGGTTTTAGGATTTTAGAAGCGTGGCCACCATTGCTGTGCACTGCGTTTTGCTTTGAAGTGAGGAAAATAAGAGTGAGAACGCGGAGATGCGTGTATTTAAATACGTTTATGTCACGCTTTATTGGTGTGAGAGTGCAAGTGGGGCGGTGAAAGAGTGATGAAATTGGATCATGCAGGTTTTGATATTTGAATGATTTTAATTACTCACACATATGAACAGAGATGCTTAAAAAGGCAAGTAAATGAATAATTAGTTACCATAGCAAAACTGCAGAGGGTCGTAGCAAAACCGCGGGCCAACCCTCCAATCCCGAAAAAAAAAATAATAATAATTTGATGTGTCGGGTTAAGTGATCCGGTCTGTTAGGCCGCTGTGGCCTGCCTTGCCTCAGCCAACTCAATAAAAAATGAAAATGAAAATTAATTTTGCTTAATTTAGTAAGAAAATTAATATTCAAATAAAATTTAAACTAAATTATTAATATATTTTAAATTTTTAATTAAATTTATCTATTTAAATTAATTTAATAAAATAAATTTTTTTATTTTTCTATTTTTTCCTTTTTTTTAATTAATTTATCTATCCAAATAAGCAAGGTTGTCCTGTTTTGTCATCTCTAATTATTAGATATGTATAAATTTTTTTCGATATTTGGAAGGTGACCAAAGATCCCTCCGCAAGAATTCCATTAAGGAAACCTAGCCACTATCCTAGTTAAGAACATTCAAAAAGTGTAATCCCCTTAAAACCCTAGATCTCTACTCCTATATATATATGATTCTTAAAATCTTAATTCTAAAAGATTTCCCTCTTGTTTCATGGTCCAACACTATCTTCACGTTTCCCTTATTTCCTAAATCTTTTGTCATTATCACAAGTGTGTTATTGATGATAAATATTAAGTGATTTATGAAATCCCTCAATATGTGAATATATCTTTAAATTATTGAACTATGGAGTGCAATCTTTTGGCTAAAGCAATATGTAAAGTCATATGTTGCTGAAAGCTATCACATTTTCTCACAAAGTTAGCACAGTCAGTCCTAAGAGTTGCCTAATAAAAACCAACCTTGAGGCTTTTATGTGTCAGAGAACGACCATCGATACGACTACCGGACACTCCCTCATGAACCTTGGTTATCATTCGGCTAGATTGTTCAAGGTTCAAGCAGGGGAAAAGGGGGATGTTGAAACCTTAGCGATATAGTTTACCTTCTAATAGTGTATATTTAGTCAAATCTTTTACGAACCATTTGCTGAATTATGGTATATTGGTAACTTGTCAAAGTTTAGGTACAAAATAATAGGGCACATCTATGTCGGTTAACCCTCTTATATGGCCAAGATTTGTGTCGCATCTAGACTAATAATAGACTTATTAAGGATTTCTTGGATGACTGATCAATTACATCCCAGTCGCTTTGTGCTTGCTAACTTTGATAGCAATTCAGCTCTCGAGTTCTGGTCTCTTTGCATACTACTTGACATTTTTGTAACCTTGTCATCAATCTTCTTTAGCAGGGAGTTATGTGCTTGAGCATTTTCTGTTTGCCAATTAAGAACTTCTTCTGCCTGACTTAGCACTTTTGGCTTTCCGTCAGTACCAATCTCTGAAGGAATGATGGTAGGTTTGGTAGAATACCTCGTACTGGGATTTATTTTTCTTTCCAAAGGAGGAAATTCTACATCTTTGTTTGCTTCAGAAAACATGAAGCATGGTACTGGTTTAGGTGTAGAGGGAGAAAATCTTTTCACCTCATCTGAACATCTTGATGAGGTCATGCTGTAAGAAGACTTGCTCCGTTGGTTGGGTTGTCTGTTGAAGGAAGACTTGTTTTGTGAATCTGGCCTCCTGTTAGGTCGAGGTGGTGGTTTACAAGGTGTATTCCACTCCTCATCGTCACTGTAGTCACTGTCTGATTCACTATCTTCTTCTTCACTGGTGTCTCCTGAGTGCATCCAGCAATCGCACTCAGGATCGAACATTTCTGGGGCAACATCCCAGATAAAATGACCATTGATCCTGTCGGTATAGATCTCTCTCCCATCTGCATGTACTGCAAAGATAGGAATTCTTTTTTCTTTGACGAAAGGTTCTAACATCATTGTTTGAAAAATTGGACCTGAGGCTGTTTCAGGTTGTTGAAAGATTGTTCTGGCCGTTCCATCGACGGATCTTCTGAAAGTTGCTTGATCCGTTTGGATTGGCTTGCCATGATGCTTGTGGAGATTCTCATAATTTGTCACCCATTGTAATGGGATGAGCTCCTTCAGCTGTTCCCTGGAAATATTCCTGGGAACTTGGACGATCGATGGACTTTCTTCTGCCTGGTTTGCAAGAACAAACAAGGCACTATCATTACTGCTGGGTAAGGCCAAATTAACCGCATGGGTCTGTAGCCTATATATGATTTGGTAGTGGAGAGTAGCACAAACAGCATCAGCGGTCTGGGCAGCTCCGGTTATCTGGACTTGGACCTTTAGTCTCTCTGGTACAGTGGGGTCTCTTAAACTAACATTATAATTGGGAAACAATGTTAGGACGACACTTCCGGCGTGAAGTGTAGTCAAGACCGTACCAATCACAGCATTTTCATAGTGGAGATAGCTAGTATCTAACAGGGAGATCCTTGAGGAGACAGGAAGTCCTCGTCTCCCATGGAGTGTGAGCATCAATCTAATGGCCCCATAGTGAAGATGGGTGTATCCGTCGGTCCTCCAGTGTCGGATGAGTTCCTTTGGGATTTCAATAGTAACATACTGTTCTTCAGAAGTGGCCATCAAAGAACACTGTTCCATCTTAGAAGATTGAACATATTCTTTTTCATGTGGACGGGTGGTTCTGACCAACTGCCTGATGGATCTAAGAGTAGATCTTTGGCGTTTGAATATATTATATGGACTTAGAAGGGGGGCAGTGCTTTCAGAGATCTGAGCATCTTCAGGGACGTATGAAAATTCAACTAGGTTCTCAATCTTTGGTGCTAGGGTTCTAGAGACATGGTTAGGTAAAGATAAGGAGGTGTTTAGGAAGGCAGGTTGAGTGTCTGAAGTAGAAGTTTCCATGGTAATAAAGTCTCTCTTCTACTCACTCTGTCCTCTAAAATAGTATTATGGCCTCAGTTTTTGAGATTGTTAGGCTCTGATACCAATATGGCCGAGAGCCTTAGAGACCTATAATTAATTTGACAGAATACAAGAACGAGCTTACTCTTTCGACATTCCTTGCCTACTCTTTTCAGCAATTGTCTTATATTAGCCAAATTAACCATAAATCCTAAGGATCTCGGCCATATTGGTATCAGAGCCTAACAATCTCAAATACTGAGGCCATAATGAAAATACTGGATCTAAAGTTCATAGCGTTCTGTTGTACAAGATCCTCTTAAAGAGGCGAGTACAGAGCATACTGGCTTAAACATATATCACTGAGAACATAATACTATAATAGGATCAAGAGTTTTCGAAAGAGAGAATAAGAGGTTTAGCAATCCATGAGAAATAAGCACACAAGAAATTTTATTGCAAACTCGACTTGATTACAAACTGAAGGAGAGCCTCCTTATATAGACTCGGAGGGAATCTCATGAGACATACAAACAACAAACATTTTACACATGGGCCATATTCAAATAAAATTTAAACTAAATTATTAATATGTTTTAAATTTTTAAGTAAATTTATCTATTTAAATTAATTTTATAAAAAATATTTTTATTTTTTTATTTTTTACTTTTTTTTTTAATTTTGGTTGGACCAAGGTGTCTAACATGCTCTTAATTGATGGATCTATTTAGTTTGACCGATTTCTAGCAAGTTAACGACGAGCCATGTCCAAATAAGCAAGGTTGTCCTGTTTTGTCATCTCTAATTATTAGATATGTATAAATTTTTTTCGATATTTGGAAGATGACCAAAGATCCCTCCGCAAGAACTCTATTGAGGAAACCTAGCTACTATCCTAGTTAAGAACATTCAAAAATTGTAATCCCCTTAAAACCCTGGATCTCTACTCTTATATATATATGATTCTTAAAATCTTAATTCTAAAAGATTTCCCTCTTGTTTCATGGTCCAACACTATCTTCACGTTTCCCTTATTTCCCAAATCTTTTGTCATTATCACAAGTGTGTTATTGATTATAAATATTAAGTGATTTATGGAATTCCTCAATATGTGAATATATCTTTAAATTATTGAACTATGGAGTGCAATCTTTTGGCTAAAGCAATATGTAAAGTCATATGTTGCTGAAAGCTATCACATTTTCTCACAAAGTTAGCACAGTCAATCTTAAGAGTTGCCTAATAAAAACCAACCTTGAGGCTTTTATGTGTCAGAGAACGACCATCGATACGACTACCGGACACTCCCTCATGAACCTTGTTTATCATTTGGCTAGATTGTTCAAGGTTCAAGCAGGGGAAAAGGGGGATGTCGAAACCTTAGCGATATAGTTTACCATTTGCTGAATTATGGTATATTGGTAACTTGTCGAAGTTTAGGTACAAAATAATAGGGCACATCTATGTTGGTTAACCCTTTATATGGCCAAGATTTGTGTCGCATCTAGACTAATAGTAGACTTATTAAGGATTTCTTGGATGACTAATCAATTACATCCCAGTCGCTTTGTGCTTGCTAACTTTGATAGTAATTCGGCTCTCGAGTTCTAGTCTCTTGGAATATGAGCAAGAGAAAAACTTGTAAATCTTGATGACAAGCTTTTGACTTTATCCAAGTATTTGGATAGTTGAGTATCTTTTTCTTGGATGTTGTCAATCACTTAACCCGTTACCAATTGGGAATCACTCCTGACTACTAATTTATGCACACCCTAATTATATTCCTGCTAACAAGGTTTCATACTCAACCTAGTTGTTGTTTGTTGTAGTCAAACATTAGTGACTACTTAATGAGAACTCTTCCTGGTCCTTCTAGAACAATTATGGCGCCACTTCTTTTTATATTGGATGCTTCATCCACAGATAAAATCCACACTTACTCTTGTGCTTATGACTCATCTGGAGAGGTTAGTTTTAGCACACAGTCTGCTAACACTTGACCCTTGATTGACCTCTTTACCTCATAGCATAATCCAAATTCAGATAGTTCTATCGATCACTTCATCATCTGACTTACCAGATCAGGCTTATGGAGAACTTGTTTAACTGGTTGATCAGTTTGCACTA